TCTCCAATCTTCTGTCACCCCAATCTCTCCAAGGAAGAGACACCTTGCAAACCAGGGGACTGAAGCAATAAGGTGGGAGCACTTAGCCTTGGAGGTTAAGTCAAGCTGCACAGTGGGGAGTGCTGGGTAAAAATTATGTAGATTCATGGGAAAGAGTCTGGAGCAGTTATAGAATGCAAGAGAATTTAGGATTGGAGGGATGGGCATATAAACAGTGTTGCTGTGGGTCTCCTTTAATGTGATTTTTTTGTACTTTATTTTGAATTATTTGACTTTTGTTTTTTGTTGTATGTTTGCTTAAACAAGCTCTGCATTAACCTACTTTAAAAATGGGGAGCACTTGTTTCCTGTACCCCCATCCCTGTGCAAAATTTTATCCCTCCTCTATTAAGTTCTTCTTGGGGACTATTATATAGGTGGTTTTACTGGTACCTTAAAGGAATTTGCCATTTCATGAATCCAAGAGCCTTTTCCTTCTGACTGTATGATCACAGGGCTTATATATCAACTTCCTTTGCCAGTTGTTTGAAGGTTTCTGGAGGCATTTGAGTTCTTAAAGCCTGTCCTTCATGAGGACAGGGTGCAAAGCTTTTTACTGTCTGCATATATTGGTGTCCGCCAAAAAATTATCATTTTCTGTGTAACCCCGGAATTGACGCCCAGGGAAAAATTAGAAGTCCAAGAAGAATGATTGGAGACTAGAGCACTGAGGAGAAAAAGAAGAAAATCCGAAAACAAAATGTAAATGCATCAGAAGTTTGTATTAGGATGGTCTGAGGGATGGAGAAACTGGATGGTAAAGGGCCAATTTGTGGAGGCTTCTGTGGTGAGGCAGAGAGGGCTGTGGGGAGCAGGTGCCTGAAGCTCATTGTGATGGGGAGGGGGTGGGCAGTCTGTAGCTAGGGAACCAAGCCCAGGGTGCCCTTGGGGCTAGACAAGCTTGAAATCAGAAGGCTTTGAGCACCTGGGTGGCTCAGTCAGTTAAGACTCTTGATTTCGACTCAGGTCATGATCTCAGGGTCAAGAGATCGAGCCCCGTGGTGGGCTCCATGCTCAGTGGGGAGTCTGCTTGAGGAGTCTCTCTCTCTCCCTCCCCTTCTGTCCCTCCCCCCACCATTCACATATGCTCCCTCTCTCCCTCTCTCTAAAATAAATAAATAAATCTTTAAAAAAAGAAAAGAAAACAGAAGCCTTCTGAGGAAATGACATGAAGTTGAGAGTTTCACTAGGAAATCAGTGGAGGAGGAAACACACAAACTTTAAAGTTTGTATGAAGACCCGGAGGGGAAGAGTCTGGCATTTCTGAGTAACCAAAAGGCTGGGGAGGGGAGGGATCAGAGAGAAAGGGTGAAACGTTGGGTGAAATGAGTTTGGAGAAGCCGGAAGGAACTAGATCGTACAGTGCCTTGGAGTATTTTGGACTGAATCTTAAGGGCAATGGGAAACCTCCAAGGGCTTTTTAAGCAGAGGAAAGACATGATTGAATCTGTTTTACCAGGATCTCTAGTCTAAGGCAAGCAAATTGTAGGGTGACACAATGGCTAGTGAAGAGGGCAGTTAGAAAGCTAATGCAGTAGTCCACGTGAAATTGGATGGTGGTTTGGACTAAGATTCAAGGAACAATGTGACAGATGGGGAATAGTAAGAGACAGAATAAAATGCTGAAAGCTACATGCCACCGAACAGAATGGGCCCAAATGACCCAGGGTCATTTGACATGGTCCTTTGCTTTATATAGTGGTTGCTGTCCAGAAAAGCTAACTCAAAACCTCTTCTCTATAAAGTGCTTCCTAATTAACCATTGGCCTCAGGTACAAAGTTTGAAATGCAATTGCGCTATGGTTGAGGATGGATGAAAGTTTTGAGATGGAAGAATCACTCCCCATTAACTGCTCAGGGGCCCTGGAGGCTACATATTGCCAGACCCTAGCAGGCAGTGGAACCAGCCATAATTTTAACTAGTAATTGATTATGGATTAGGAAACCGGCTAACCAAGCTTGTTAGAAAATTATATCAAATAAAACTGAGGACTTTTTGCTCCTGGGTTTGGTGATATTTGATTGCTCAGGTTTAAAAAAAAAATTGTTGTCATTGCTTCCTTCCTTGTTCGGCTATTTTCTAGAAAGTTCAGATTACCTTTGGGTATGTATCTCAGTCATTTCTACAGGTTTGGGAGAAACAGCAGAAATTAGAGAGAGAGAGAACCCACAACAGTAGTAATGGAAGTGCATTCACTAGGTTTTTTTATTTTTTGTATTTTAATGTTTTGACATCCGGGGCCTTGCTGACCCTGCAGGGACTGCTCCTCCTAGGGTCAACGGATTTTTACAGATAGTGAACAACTCTCTCATGAGTGTACTTCTCCAATACGAACCAAACAATCCGGAGCCCACACTCCTTCGTGGAGCTCTCACGCTCAGGGTCATTATTCACATGCCCTAGTCACCCCAAGGCCAGATACCAGACAACTAGGTATGCCACAAAGACCACTACAATTATTCAACCCAGCCAATCCTAATCCTATTTACCTGGCGTTGCCTGCTCTTTCCCATGCAACCACAGTAACGGCTCTTGTCCACACCTCCTCCCTTTCCCTCTGCCTTACGACCAATGCTAGTGTTTTCCTCCATGGTCCCCATGGCAGGACGTGTCCCCTTCTCTTGGGAACCGTGTGTAACATGTTGGCTGTCTTTTCAATGTCAGTTGTCTCCTGATCTTTTGGCCTTAGTATGCCTCAATTATTCTATTAATACCCAATATCTAAAACGGGTCGGAAAAACTACCAACCTTTTCTTATTCCCTATCTTCTCTCTGCACCTGAGGAGTCCCTACTCTTTGTGACTTCTGGCAAATAAATTTTCCATGAATAAGTTATTCTTCAACATGCATTATTTTCTTCTTAAACACACAAGCAAGGGCAATGTGGTGGAGTATAAAAAGCACAGAAAAAGTTCTGGTCTGGCTTCAAATCTTGATCAGATATGGTCTCCCCCCATGCTGTGAAGAGCTCAGTCTAGCCTATTGGAAGATGAGAGGCCACGTGGTGAAGAATCAAGGCACCCTAGCCAATAGCCAGCACTAAGTGTCAAAGTGAGGCCATTCTGGACTACCCAGCCCTCACCCCTGTTCTGCCATCAGATGGATGACCCCAGGTGGTATCAGCAGAAGAAACACTCAGAAACTCACAGAATCTTTTAAAAATTATTAAAATATTGTTTTAACTCATGAGGTTTTGCAGTGGTTTGTTATGTAAATTGATAACTGACATACCTTCTTTGCCCATCAAGGGAGAAAAGGGCCATTCTGTACACACTACAATGATAGACTAGCCCTCGGACTTCGTTCAGGTCTGAACTTTGCTTAAGTCATGTGACAGAGCAATGATGACCAAGGTAAACTGCCTTTTCTCTTTATAGCTAAGTCAACTATATGCAAAGCAACTTAGACAAAAGGTCAATATTCAGTTCTGACAAGTCCTTTTTCATTCTGTGGCGCAAACCCATTTCTGCCTTCTATATGTCTTGTCAGGCTTTTGGGGCACAGAGGGGATCCAAATAAGATAGTAAATGTTGGCGACTGTGTGTACCCTTACCCTTATCTCCTACATCAAAGCCAAACCCCAAACTGGTCATTCAGACTTCTTCCTTTCCTCTTTCCACTGTTCTGTGAGATGCAGAAAAATAAGGACACATTTATTCAATAATCTCCAAAATAAGGTGGATAAAAGATGTAAACTTTCCTTGACAAATGCAAAAAGTTTTTATTGAATGCCGATATGAGCCAGGCACAGTCACACACACTGTTATCTCGTTTGCTATCTCTGGTATCAAATAGCAAAGCGTAGGAGAGATTATCAGCTATTTTAATGGCCTCTTTTACACATTTAATCTGTGGTGATATTCCCTAGAAGATACGGTTTTATGTCCCTGTGTCTTCCAAGTTACAACAGGGCATCTATTTGATCTGAGAAACTGATTGCTGTTTAGATCTAGGCATGCAATGTGAATTAGGATCAAAGTGGAAAGGAAGCAAAATAAGGTTCATAAGGAAAACAATCGTATGAGAAGTAACATGGCCCGGGGGTAAAAATGCACACATATCCAGGAATAAGAAACTCATATTCAAATCAGCATTGCAAATGCAGAATTAAATTGGGATTCAATTCGGAAATCTGTAAACTAGGAAGAGGGATCATCCCATTTTCCTGTGATTGGTTAATAAATTTAGGTAAGTTCTTTTGTCAATGACTCTGTTAATGATTGACTTGCATTTGAAAACATACTTCAGCCCTCTCTCCTACTCCTTTCCCCCTGCAAAAAGAAAAAGAACATGAACAGTATGGAAAATGTTCAGGGACCTAGCATTTGTAGAACTCCTTTAGACACAGCAATACTTTTTTATGATACAGGTTGTTACAGTAGCAAAGGCATCAGGTAAGCACATCAAGTGTTTTATAGTGTGTGTGTGTGTGTGTGTGTGTGTGTGTGTGTGTGTGTGTGTGTG